ACTAAATTTGGGACTTCTTCGGAATGTCATATTTTTCCTACTTGAGATTTGACACAAGAACCCGTTTCTGAAAGTATGAAAACAATGACAATTGGCAGTTTCTGGCATTTGTTCATCTATCTGGGTGTGAGACCTACGATCTGAATACAACAGGTATCCCCAATGAGCAAAATAATTGCAGCAAAACCACCTCTCAAATGAGTTGTTGATGTGGAAGGTCCTAATTACATAACTCATAATTACAGGTAACAAAATGCATCAGTTTGTTCAGTGGAGACCCTCTCAGAACCTGACAGTACTTCAGGATGCATATTATTAGTAAGTTAATATTATAAGTGTTCATGCGATACTTATGGTACCGTGCAATACTGTCTTTAAGACATACGAGACCAAAAATCAGAATTATGTTTTATCATTATATGCATATTTCACTTTTTCAAATCACTTATTAATTATCTAGGTATGAAGAGAAATGTTCAAAATATTTCTTTAATGACAAAATGAAACGGGTGTTTTAAAAGTTTAAGACCATTACTTCTTTCGGCAGGAATAACTTCTTTATCTGGATAATTATACTTTGATTAAATGGCGTAAAAGATGTTTAATTATTTTTTTCATTGCATTTGGGCTTCTCATTTTATGCGGCAAATCAGCCTGGATGCCATGCATCGTGAAACAATGTGGCATTCGTATGTAACTGCTTAAATTCAGGAGAGAATATTCGGATTCGTTATTTTCAATACCTCAATGATTTTGCCTTATTTTCCTAAGAGAGATAGTATTTGCTAGTTGTTTTTTTTATAAACACCGGTTCATTGGCGTTACAAAGATATTTTCAAATCCATCATAAGGATTAAATCCTGCCCTATTGTTTCATAGAATGAACTACTGAACGGGAATTTAATTTTATAAACGATTTATGTTTAAATAATACGATTGTTTTGTGATTGCAGCAGGGAAACCCATAAGGTCAGTTGTATGAATTAAATCTGCGAGGAACCAGTCACTTAATCGTTAGATGTACAGGTCTCCATCACTGGAGTCGAGAGTAGTGATGCGTCATCGATTATACAACGATGTTTATAATAGATCGACCTAAAACCATAATATTTTTAAACATCGATGTTTTAATGTTGGTTTAGTAACGTCTAACAATACCTTCGAGTGCAACAATACTTAATTTGAAAGCGGCCGTGAAAATAAATTTATAATAAAAATTGAATTTTAATGGAAATAAAGTTTTATAAAAACGCCTCTCCATGTCCGAAATTCGAGGAAAGACGAAGGTAATACCAGGGCACCACGATCATCTTGGGCGAAGGACAATAGTCTGCTAAATGAAGGTAGTACAAATCGGGTTCGTTTGGGTCGAACATAGAGAGAGGGAACATTCGTTATTATTTCATATTTGAACTTTTACAAACTTGTGATTGTTGGCATTTGCATCCACGAACAAAACATCAAAAACTTGTCAAAAACAAAACATCAAAAACGACAAACTTCAACGATGTTAACAAAACATCAATGCTACCAAAACATCGATGTTACCAAAACATCGATCTTAATAAATCATTGAGGTTAACAAAACATCGCTGTTAACAAAACATCGGCTTCAATACTTCGATGTTTTAAACATCAACATTTTTATAGGCTCATGTACGACCTAAAACCATTGGCATCGATGTCGCATCCCTAATCGCGCGCCGCAAAGTCGTTCCACATCCACGGCCCATCAGAGGTCGCTGCCGAAGGCGCGGGGGGCTTAGGCGATGTAGCGAGCGAAGAGGGAGAGCAGGGCGAGGAAGAACACGACCAGCGCCACGCGGTCGAGGAAGATGGCCGCCAGTTGCCACGTATCGTCCAGTGCGCTCCAGGCCTCGCCCCTGCCGCCGCCGCCGCCACCGACACCGCTGCCGCCTCCGCCGCCGTCCACTCCCACGGAATCGCCCGACGACACCAGCGTCGCCCCGTCCTCGCCGGCCGTCCCGGCGGTGGCCGCTGCGCCCTGCATCCGCCATTAAAAAGAAAGAAAATTTATTTCCGCCATTGGCCCTGGCGAGGGGGGCATTTGTTACCATGCGGGATACATGCGCCGCAGCTCTTTGGCTTTAGGGGCAAAATTGGGGAAAAACTTAAAAAACTACTTTTACTGACTTAACGTATGGAAGTAGCCGGCGCTTTGGTCGGCAACGCATGGTTCACATACACGCGGGAAAATATTTTTTTCCTATCTTTTTATAGATTATAAAAATATAGGTTCCTATCTTGTTTTCTTTCTTAAGTCTTGTTTATTTTCCATTCATGTATTCATACGTATGTCCATTTATACTTATTTACAACAGTCATACTTAAAATGTGCACTTTTCACAGGGCTATATTTACCCTGCACCTGCGATGCACACGGGATGGGAAAAGAAGGGCAAGGTGGGCAAGTGCGGAGTGGGAAGGTTGTAAATCGAAATGGAGAAGTTTTAAGAGAGTTTGCAACATTTAATGTACCCCAAATAACAAATACTCTCTTTAAAAGAGAGATATTATAAAATGTACTTGGGCATCAAGAGGATGTAGACAGAACATACCTCGGAACGCCAACAACAAACACCAAAAAAGAATATTAGAGGGCTAGAAATACGGCAAAATGCATTACAAAAAATGTGCATCGATATTCATGGGTTCGGTTTACTGGAAATAGTGAATATGACGTACATGGTCAGCGTACATACGTGAGCACTGGAAGAAGCCTATCATTGTTGGTAGAAGAGAAAGAAACAGAAAAAGAAGAAGAAGGAGAAGGAGGAGGAGGTTCGGTCAAGAAAACTCTTCAGGGATCTTGGCCTGTTTTACAAATTTGTAATATACATACAATTTTGTTCCGTTTGTTGTTTTGTTGCGACAGTTTGATCTTATGTAAAGTGAAATTAAGTCAAACACAGAGGAGTCACTTCAAGTGAAAAACAAGCACTATCGTTGTCTCCTGAATGAAATGGATAAATGTTTCTTATATCAGTTTGCTGAGAAACACTTCATTTCCAAACAGTAGTTCATTGACGTTTTCTTTTATAACGTCCGAATATCGTGCTTAATTTAAGCGGACGCGCTGAGAATAGTTTTAGGTTTTTCCTAAAACTTGTGAATGTCATAATTTTGTACCCAAATTCCTTCAAATCTTGATTATGCAGCTGATTTTAGGCCGTAAGAACTTTGGGACCCTAGTCAGCCGTCAGAACTGTCGCTGTTCACAAATAAGGGTAATGACCGCTCGAGTCCACAGTACCGCTCACCTTGGAAATACGCCCTTCTCTTCGATGAGATAGGAGGACAACTCAGCAACAGTGTGTCAAAAATTGAAAAATTGAAAAAAGCACTTTCTTCCTGAATCTATGCTTTAGAAGTCAGAAAGGTATAGGAATTATTTCTTGCTGCCATCCTCATAGTAAAAGAGTAACGTGCGTTCATCCATGTGTTCATCACTCACGGTTAGGCCCTAGGCCCCTTAGTGTTCACTAATCATGACAAAGAGGTGTTATTCAACGCGTCTTGGTCTCCAGTCTGAAGAACTGATCATTTGTTTCGGGCCCGTCGGGAAGATTACAAGAAACATGTGTCATAAGGTGTTTTCTTAGCGATTAAAACCGTTTTCGGAGGCTTACGATACTCACAGATGTGATCAGTACCTCATTCAATTTCTCCGGAGCAGAGGAAATTGGAAATTGATTGGCACAATTCTTGGTCGGTACCCTCTAGGACATTCTGTAAGAATTCTATAAAATCAAAAATTTTGATGCACTCAATTCACCGTGCTAGTACATTGGTGAAATGCTGTGACTTTGATCTTTCCGGCATTTACACGGGTCGTTACAACTTGATTCATAAAATTGTTTATAAATAAACCTCATTTTCTAATGCAGCCAAAAAATTCAAATGATAGTTTTTCATGTAACGTTTTCGCCAGAAAATGGACGACACGAGCAACGTTTTAAATTTATTTCTATTATGTATGTGCGGAGCTCACTGAATTTTTTAACAAGAAAATACATGGCAAAAGAGGCAACCTAAGCCAGTTATAAGAAACGCGCTGGTGAGTTGTTTTGTTTGTTTTTACTCCGGAAATGACTCGCCCTGTGTAAGTTAGAAATGCGACGTTGCCAACAAAACATCGATGTTTCTAAACATCGATGTTCAAAATAAATAATCGATGTTAGTAAAGATCGCTCGAAAACCATCGATGTTTTTAAACATGATGGACAAAAAATAATCAGGACATTTAAAAGAAACTTTTATTTTGGGATTGGATAATTAAAAAATTTATGAACTTCATTTATAGTTGAAAATTCGACTTAACTTCTTCCGCGGTACTTCGGCCTGATGGCTTATGGCTGATGGCTGACGGTTTATGGATACCAGTTTATAATAATAATAATAATAATAATAATAATAATAATAATAATAATATTGGTTTCGTATATGATTATTGTGATGGTACTTTTGTAAATCAAAAATAAAATATCAACTTCGTAAAACATTGAACATATTACAATGTAGACTTTCACGGCCGGTTTATACATAATTAGACGATTCCGGATTTGTAGGCGAGCGCCGTTGACGCGACCCAATCAGGTGCCAACTTCGCCCATCACCATAAATACTGGTCCCAGAGCCGCGGGAGCGTCAGTCAATTCGGTGCTGCCAAGAACACTTCGCCCCCGCCAGCAACGCCACCGATCATGCCTGCCACAGTTGCAGGCGAAACGTATGGACCAGTCTCCATTAGACCACGGCCTTCAAACCCGGATCGTCTAATTATATAGATAATATTGCTGTTACTAAAACATCGGCTTCAAACAATCGATGTTAAATCCGCGGTTGATTTTATGGAAGCCTAGACGTCCTGCCTCCCTAGTGTTCAGGCACGCAGGCAGGCAGCCATACGCACCCGCGCGCTGAGCCTGCCGAGCAGCAGCAGCTGGCCCGGCGCGTGCGCCAGCAGCGCCGCGGCGGCGGAGCGCAGCCAGTCGGGCGGCGGCGAGCGCGCCTGCACCAGGCGGCGCGTCGCCACGCCCAGCACCAGCGCCGCGCCCAGCAGCACCAGCGAGTCCCGGAAGAACACCACTGCCACAAACGCACGCATGCATTCATTCATTCAAGTTTATGGGCAGGAAAACTACTATGGTCGTTCGTCCCGATAGTGCCGAGGATACATTTTTAAGTACCGGGAGGTGGAGGTGTTCGTACAAGTCAAATTGCGGGGGAATTCTCCTCCAGGTATCTCCCCCAACGGAGCACCGCCCGCAGCTGGTACCAGCTATATGTCCCCGATTGCCCCCCCTCCACATGTGTGACTTAGTAGAGTATGCTATAAGCGTTTGTAAAGTAAGGGCTGAGAATATAACAAAGAAGTGGAAAGGAAAAATTGCGCACGATTCATGACCCGTTTGTTCGGTAATGGTTCATGGTTTGTTCGGTAATTCTTTTGGTGTTAATCGGAGAGACTACCGATCAAAGCAGCCGGCCATTAGGATTCTCCTCCAGACAGCGGCTTAATTCCACATTGCTATCTACCCCACCCTGTCGGAACTCGAACCCTACGATTTTCCAATCAGAAACGCAGCACAGGCAGAAACAATACTGTGTCTGAGATAGCTCAGCCGGTATCACCACTAGGCCATTGAGACGCTTGCGCAGTCATACCGAATGCGCGCGCCACGCCGCGCCACGCCGCGCCACGCCGCCCACGCCGCGCCACGCCGCGCCACGCCGCGCCACGCCGCCCGACGCCGCCCCACACCGCCCCACGCCGTCCCTCGCCATCCCTCCGCCCGCTCCACGCCGCCCCACGCCGCCCCACGCCGCTTCACGCCGCCCCACGCCGCCCCACGCCGCCCCACACCGCCCCACGCCGCCCCACGCCGTCCCACGCGCCCCCCCCCCCCCCCACTTCCGCCCACGCCGCTTCACGCCGCCCCACCACCGCCCCACGCCGTCCCACGCCACTTCACGCCGTTCCACCCGCCGCCCCTGGCCGTCCCCTCGCCATCCCTCGCCGCTCCACGCCGCTCCCCACGCCGCTTCCACGCCGCTCCACGCCGCCCCACGCCGCCCCACGCCGCTTCACGCCGCCCCACGCCGCCCCATGCCGTTCCACGCCGCCCCACGCCGCCCGACGCCGCCCACGCCGCCCCACGCCGCCCCAGCCGCCCCACGCCCGCCCCACGCCTCCCCAAGCCGCGCCGCGCTACGCGACCCGTTCGCACTGAGGATAATAATTGTATATCAACATAGGCGCCACTGATGTTCCGTAACCACTACTCTTCCGTCCTCCCAATACAATTTGGGCGTAAAGCCCCCCCCCCCAGAAAAAAAGTGGCGGGAATTTCGACACTAGCTGGGTAGCTAGAACGAATTCAGTCACAATCTGGAGGAGAATTATAGTGGCCGGCTGCTCTGATAGGTTGTTTTCCGTGATTTCTTCGATGAATGCGAGGATAATGCCGGAGCAGTACCCTAACAAGTGGGTGGATTACGTCTTGTCCTATCCTCAACCCTTACTTAAACACTCTTACACTTACATGCACTACACTTCCACACATGTCGAGAGTCCTTGATATCTTTGGTGGAATTTGCAATATCATACTTTGTTGGTAACCATCGTCTTCTAATAAACATGCAAGCAACTAGCGTTTCAGCATAAATGACAGGGGGCTATCTGTGAAATATCGTTTTACTATGTGTGCGATTACACACAAATCGAGCCCGGCGGCTTTAGCAAAGCAAACTACATAAGAAACCTCTACAGTTTGCCATTTAACAAATTCACTGTCGGTCAGTGATATTGATAATTAATTTACTATATTATTGAGTCTACTGATACAGACTCAATCAATAGAATAAGAAACTTAAGTTGGACTAGAAAATCTGTGCAATTCTATGGCATCAATTGTTTTAATTGTCTAACTTTGATATTTGATGACTGAATATAATTAGTTTTTACTCATTTGAAATTTATTTTCGGGTGTATATTATATTTTATTGATATTTTATATCTATACTTCGTTACATTTTATTTATTGTAAATTGTGCACTTTTTCTGAACACCACCAATTGAACATCATCTTACTCATCGAGTGCTCTATTTTATCAACAATAATGTAATATTCGTCCCGTTGTAATTGTTCTGGGAAGCACAAAGTCCGTTACCTCAATCACGAACATCCCGCCAGGGAATTATACTAGAAGAAGTAGAGTGGGTGGGTCTTGAACCGTTGCGCAACTCGCAAGAGCGAAGCGACTGTCTCACCAATCGCAGGCACGGTGTCCCCGTTGGGCGGCAGGCGCCAGCTCGTGTATTGCAGGTAGAGCACGTGCGCCAGCACGTTGGTGATGCCCATGATGAGCCGCTCCGAGCAGCCGGGCTCCAGCAGCAGGGTGAGCAGCGTCGTCGTCGCCAGCCACTGGCCAATGAGCCAGAGCAGCTTCACTATGCGCACGATTTGTTTTGAATTGAATTGAATCGAATCGAATCTGAATCGATCGAACGAATGCGAATCGAATGGAATCGAATGGAATCGAATGGAATCGAATCAATGGAATCGAATGGAATCGAATGGAATCCGAATGGAATGGGATCGAATCGAATCGAATTGAATTGAATTGAATTTGCCTTATTTTACGTGGCGAGACTCGGCTATCGGCCCGCTTCTTCCGTTCTGACCACGCAAAATTCGTGCGCTCCTTTCATCAACTAGCAGAGAAAGGAGGTTATTTCTTGGGCGGAGAAACAGGCGCATTTTGAATTTAGCTCAGAGGCGTCATTTATTCTTGAGGATCTTTTACATGCAAGTAAATCTACTAACATGGGACAGCCGGCTTTACTTTCTCACCCGTTACGTCGTAAGAAGAGAGAGTATTGTTATCGCTCGCCGGAAATCGGCGATTTGTCGTCGAATGCTTTTGCGTCCTTTTCGTGAAGGCATTTCGAGCACTCGTGTATTGCATCTAGATCCTGACGTTTCCATAATCTGTTGCCGGGGTAGGCAAGAATGCATGAGATGGATGTATAATTGGGGAACTGAATTCCATCACACAAAACAATACTACAAGCACCGAGGGGGTCAACGGACACCATGGGCCAATATGAATGTTCAAGGCCGAGATGTGTTTATGCAATGTTCGGGGAATGCGATGTTCTTCTCTGAGATAGTGCTTAGAGGAGCGGTAGACACAACGATAGACTCTGGTAGATCATTTACGTGCTGAACGGTAGCAGCATGGAAGAGAGTGGGAGCGAAACTAAAAAGCTGATCCAGACTCATTAGAATAAGAAACTTAACTTGAACTAGAAAATCTGTGCAATCCTATGGCATAAATTGTTTTAATGTCTAACCTTGATATTTGTTGCCACAGACCTAAATACATTTGAAGCTTGATTCACCAACATCTCTTTCGGGATATGACAAGGAAACAACTGCAAATACGTTACTACGTCTGTGTTATGGTTTCTTATTTAAACGATTTGGCTCTTTATCTGAATTCAGATTGGCAGGTGTGTAGTTTTAATTGTACGTTTGAATTTTATTTGCACGCGTGCTATTAACTAGAGATAATCAACGAATTTTCGTGGAATTAGTGAGAATATTAGGAAAGCGAAAAAAAGCCGATCTGGTGGCCGAGATCGCTAAGCCAGTAGTGCCGTAGCGATCTCGGACAGAAGAATCGCGGATTCAAGTCCCGCCTGTGGCATGGTTGTATTGTGTTCGTCCTTTCACCCCCTATCATCATATCGTGTCATCCTCACAGTTACTATTGCGTTACAAGCAATAGTGGTCGCTAATGACCTACAAGGTGATGCGACCTTAAATAACAACAAAAAAATTAAAAAAAAATTAGGAACTGAAGACGGCAGTGCACTAACCTAGAGCAGGGGCGACGGCTGTCGAGGTGTCGGCGGCCGAGTGGCGCCGCAGAGCGAAGGTGTATTCGATGGTCGGGTAGTAGTCCGACTTGCCGTGCTGAGTGAGCACGACACGCGCCGAGGCCCATTTCAGGTCCCACAGCCCGTTGGGCAGCTTGTTCAGAGTGATCTGCAAAAAGACGCCGAAAGGTGTGGCCTTCACTGAAACCGCTCTCCAAGCCGTGCCCCTCGGAACGCGTTTATTTGCGAATGTTGTCGATTATAATAGTTTGTTCCGGTTTAAATCGTAGAAATCGAGTTAATATCTAGTGTGAATAGGTAATACTCGCATAGTGTGTCAATAATTCGGTAGTTAATAGTCCCAATCGATAACCCGGATTCGACTCTCGCGCGGAAACGTTTTATGAAGAGAAGTCTGTATGTACTCCTATGATGTATGTGTATTTGGATGACTATACGTATGGGTGCATGCGTGTATTTATGGGTACATGCGTGTATTTGGATGACTATACGTATGGGCGCATGCGTGTATTTATGGAAGCATGCATATATTTATGGATACATGCGTGTATTTATTGGTGTATGCGTGAATTTATGCATCCATGCATGTATGCATTCATGTTTGTACTTATTTATCCATGTTTGTAATCCATGCATTCACGTAATAATAACAATTAATTATCTTTGTATGTATGCATGTATATTACGTGTTGTATACGTGTTGATAGTTTTCTATTGGTTTTTGTTTACGTTTCATTTTAGAAACCAAGTCATGTTTGTTTTCAAACCCAAAGGCATTATCCTTTTAACCAACGGATTTATGAAAGTAATTCATTATTAGTATTCTATGACCGCCGGAGGGCGAGCGCAATGCATGGTTGAACGCGCAGAAAATAAACGTTCTCTTTATTGGTGAGGTCTGGAATGAACAAGTTTAAATAAGCACAGTAGTATTATGTGTGATATTTTTTTCATATTTATTTTATATATTTTATTTGTGTATTTTTTTCTAATTTGCTTCCTAATGTACTAAATATCAATAAATTGATTCACTGATTCTTGCTAATTAGTCTTTGCGTTTCTTTGCAAAAGGCCGAAGCATAATATTGCACATCAATGTAAAAATTGAGTGAAATAAATAATAATAATAATAATAATAATAATAATAATAATAATAATAATAATAATAATATCACTATTCCTATTGTTACAAAGTTCCGTACTACTGTCATGATTCATTTATTGGAACCCCCGAGAGTTAGAAAGTTTTTTGTTAATCAGATTAGCGGGATTGCCACGTTATAGATATATACATACAACATATACATACACTTGTATGTACTACAATGGAGGTATGTGTAACTGCAACTCAGTGCACCATACCCCAAATTCTGAGCGAGAACATCCCCGCTGAGAACGTCTGACCGCTATTATTAATGTAATGAAGTTGACGATAAGAGGATAGAAAGATGTGGAGAAAGAGGTGAGGTAACTATTTATTTAGGTTACGGTCATGTTAGAATGTAATTCGAAGAGTCCGCCTATGAAATTAGCTCTTCTTTCCTTTGCACTGACCCCTGTGCCGGAGATGGTGAGGTTGAGCGTGCTGGCGAGCTGCGACCAGGAGCCCATGACGATGGAGCACGTCTGCTCGTCGAAGGGCCAGCGCGTGATGTCCGGCACGCAGTGACCCAGCAAAGTGGTGGGAGGCGCGCACAGCACTTTGCCCAAGTTGCTCACCTGGCAGTACGTGGAGGGCAGCCCGAAATGCATGTTTGCGTCATCCCTGAAACATAAGAAATGCAAGCATCCGTGTCGGTTAAGGGCGGTTGAGTGAAGTTCACGAACCCTCGCCAGTCAGCGCAACTCTATCCAGAGAGGGAAGGGTCCGAAAATATTATCCTAGGAAACCCATGAAATAAATGTTTTTAAAGTCGTGTTGTTTGCAAAAATAACCCACCCTTCTGTGTTCTATCTCGGTTCAGATAGATGACAAATTGTTCACGTCCATTTTGCAAGATCTACTTATTATTTTCTTTATTTTCCTATGTTTTGTTCAGTGCTCATTACTTCGATCAAAATGTAGGATGTTCATTCATTCAGTTTTGGGGGAAATATTACATAAGAAACTATTTAATTTTTGTGTCCCCTTTGGGCGTCGTTGGGTAAATTAACTTATCAAATTAACACGCCTGTTTGAAGAATTTGGAAACTAGTGGTGTTACAAAACGGCACAGACTTTCTTACACTACTCGTAGTTAATTCCTTTTTTTTTTCAAGAAGAGGCTAACTTATGAGTTTTGTTCCGTTGCTCTTCCCGGCTGCTATCTTTCGGTGACTCAGGGACCTGCCAGAGCCTCCCGAAGTTAGTAGGCACCGCTTCCCTGGGGACAATTCTCAGAGAAGAGCTCCCTCATGTACTCCGAAAGAAAAGTGGAAGTAGCGCTTAGGCCCTTCTCGATCCTGAAACTGGGTTAGGTGGCTCAGGGCAGCAAATGATATAATTGCATGCTTCTGACCAGAAGTTCCTAGGGTTCGATTCCCGATGGTGGCAGAATTTTCAACACTGACTTATAGCTAGGTCGCATTCAGCGTTGTCTTATGGAGACGTCTAGCGTCCGGCTGCTCTGATCGGTAGTTTTCCGTGTTTTTTCCGATGAACACCGGATCGGAGGCAAATGACATATCAGTACACTAACAAACAATCCACGGATCGCACGCGATATTTCCTTCCTCGTCCTTGCCCAACAGACACATGCACGACAGTAGCACACATGCCGGGAGACCGGTAGGAAGCTTAGAGCATGTCCCGGCTGGGGCGCTGCTTCGCTGGTGGGAGATACCTGTTTGGGCAGAATCCCCGCTAGCCGACAGTAGGTCGGCGCCGGATCTCGCCATCCAGTGAGAGGAAATATCTCCGCCATCTCCCGCGATAACAACATACATTACATTTAGGGGACTAATGTCCTTAACAGTTGACGCTCTCGGAGACACTCATCAACCGATCCTGTGTGTGGTAGTCTGTGCACCCATCTCGGTGCTTGTATCATTGATCCGGCCATAGGGGGCGAGGTCCACAATTAGTGGATGCAGCTCTCACACTCCGTCACTGGTCAGGGCAAGGGATGATGGATGGAGTATGGACGGTATTGACATGTCACACGATGGACTTAGAATGCCCTCACTCCACCAACACAACTGAAAACGTGAATGCTTTAATTGAGATTCAAACCCACAGAATCCCTTGGACGCAGTTTCTCTGACCACTGCAACGTGAGGCTAGTTGATTCGACCGAACTATTTGTAAATGTATTACGGTTATGTAAAATTATAATGATTTAATATGAATGTGGATCTTCTGTGTAGTTCAGTTAAAATGGTTCAATTATCTCTTAAAGATTTTTTTCTTCAATTTTCTGAAAGAAAATATTGAAATACACATATAAAGATGGCATAAATCCTTTTTTCTTTCTTCACTTGGATTTTCGAAAATTACAAAAGTTTTTAAAACGTTAGACCTCCTCGTACAACTACTTCATTGAAAATGTATATTTGTCTTCAAAAAAAGTATTCTTTGCAATTAATTCATTCATAGTAATTTATTCTTAATTTTCATGTAAATTTTTGAAAATACTATTAGTTTTTACGAAAGTTTGAGTGAAATATTGTCAAATACCTTAAGTACTCAGCATATTCATATAAAGAAGTATAATGAGAAAAAATTCCAAATAAAATTGAAATAAAAATAAATATCATGACTATCTAAACCCAACCTCACGCAAGCTGTGAATTTATATATTATTGCGCGCCGCGAAAATTAACGAAAGGTACCACCAGATATCGTTTAAATAGCGCCACATTTTATAGCGACCAGTTTAATATTTTGCTAAAGGAGACTTTCTAACCGAAAAATCTCTTTTGGCAGCGTATCCTTAAACCACAAGTAACAATATGCAAAAAACAAGTTTATTTATTTCCCCAATTGCTTGAGAAACTCTCTGTCCATTGGGATTCCTTACGTTGTCATGAGGGAAATATCAGGTTGCCAGATGTCGTCGCTCAACATCTTAATAGAGCGCACATTTCCAAAGTCGCCGGGATTCCATTTTAAATTATTATCGGTCCACTCCTGTAAAATATTTAAATTTAATTACCGATAATGCATTTGTACTGTAATTCAAATAATGGAAAGCATGTTTTCAAATCCAATTACCCAGATTGTCCATGCATGGATCTTCATCTGGCTGTCATGTTCCAACTGAAAAAGATAATCGTGAATTTGTTTATAATATATTTTTTCAGCACTCCAGCATGGAACTTAGTCTTTAACTTTACTGTTTATTGACTGGAAAGTGTTACTTTTCGGTACGCATGCTGCATAATAGACTTTGCCGTGCGCGTTCTACAAAGAAGATATGTTCCAATGAGCTTAAGTTATGTAGAGAGGAATTGTGTGCAAATGCAGCCTGTTTGAAGCAATTTTCACTACTGGATGCCGTGTTTTCTAATCTCAAAACAAACTAGAGTTGTAACGGGTTTTTACCTAAAAATACATGATTTGGGCGTTTTTTGGTGTAGTATTTGTAGATATGTGAGTTTAAACTGCAACCCACGTGTTAAGTATATAATTTAAACGAGAAAATTGACAAAAGTATTGGAAATAGAAGGCCTGGGGATATACTTTAATTTTCTGTACTCAATATGTAATTATATTAATATATAAATAATTAATATATTTGAGCCCTTTCCCTTAATGAGATCTTGGCTAATAATCATAATCATAACAATAACAATAATAATAATAATAATAATAATAATAATAATAATAATAATAATAATAATAATAATATGACTGTTAGAGTTAGTTCTGTTCAGTAGTTACGTTTAGTTCAGATTTTTATTGACATTCCATAGGTACTGGTAAAGGTGTAGTAATATTACATTAAAATGTATTAAAACCATTATGACAAGTTCCTTAAAATATTTGGTTATATTCGTATCGAAGTTTCTGAGACCGCGGTTTGGTCTCAAATTATTGTTAAGCACATTTCCGTTAAGATCAATTAAATTTAAATTTTTAATACTGAATTTTAATAATCGGAAATCTAAGGTTCAAAATATTATTTTTAAATCAAGTGTCACTACAAAAAATTAATTTGTACTACGAACAAGCCAACTTAAATTTAATTCCTTAAATTAATCTAGACTAAACTCAACATGTTTTAAATATTACGCCTCTTCTAAATGATATGATAATTTTTCGATCGAATTCACCCTTACGCGAACATTTGGATGTGGCCACAGAAAACATGGCAACTGTCCCCTCAAAAAGTTTCAAATATGGCGGGCACATCGCCACTCTATAGATTTATATTGTTCTGTCTCGTTGACGTGTGCATATGAAACAAACGAGTACTAAAAAAACAAGGGCGCCATCATGGAGCTATGAATACATGAATTCCTATAAGTATTCCTAGCTCCTTGGGTGCCATGAATCAATGTGGCTACTGCCTCGCATATTTAGCACGATCCCAAGAGTGTAAACTTGTATATTCCCATGAATTCATACCTCCTAAAAATAATGCATGAAACGCATACGAAGGCCTATGTCTCTGGCGAACTCATTTGGAGATGACGTACTCGGCTTCTAATGTCGCCTCGTTCGACATTTCATTCGATCGCCGAAGACTCATTTTACTACCGACTACGTAGTTACGAAATAGTAGTGTACGTCATAAGGACGAAAATTGTTGACGGTGAGATGTTTCCTGCCGAGACGACGTTAGGAGCCGAGGCTGGAATTTCTAACGAGTAATGTAACACTTCCGCCCGTGTGTCGTAACATGTTTTATTTCATAGTACGTCACATTTCCTTACTTTTGTTTTAATTTCATATTACAATATTTCACGTAGTACGAGTGCCAATAAAGGCCTGGCCCCTGGTGCCCATGGCACCAGAGCCCTCTGGAATCTTCATGTCTTTGAAACAATTGCAGTTCTCTGAACACTTTAAAATGGAATTAAAGATATGCTTCAGAATTCGATAATATACAATGAAGCAATTTAGTAATTCATATCTCAAAAATCAAAAGAAAGATATAAAAAAGAATATGAAATTTGTTGTACCTGGAACAATACAAATAATATTAACATGGTTATTAAGGATGTAATGGCGGCTTTCTTTCTTACCTGCATTCTTATCGTGCTTTGTTCTCTTTGTCATCTTGTGATACTGTTTTCTAAATTTTCCTGCATTAACCTAGTACGTTTCCTTATTATTATTAATATCAACTACATTGTTGGTGCTGTATTTATAAAACAAATACAGAAACGTTGGTATAAAATATCCAAGATTTTTTTGTCTTTGTTTGAGATTTCATTACGGTACACTGTACCATAAAGTTCCGGCCTTTGAGGCGTGTAAACAGTCGAAATGCGACATAGAATGAAATCAATTTAACATTTGTGATATTCGAGAAACTTACCAAATCTATCGTTCGAACATGCATATTCAGTACGGTTGTAATTGTTTCAGATTGGGCTGCCGGTCGCACTGTTCTTTCGTAGTCTTGAAGAAGACATTTCTTCAATTCCTTTTCATAATTCAGATGCCGTGTTGGACATGTTACTTGTGACGTTCCTGTTGAAAATGTATATTTCACAGTAACACTTTCATTCCTTTTAATCTAAAACATTAAAATATATTAACTATGGTTTCCAGAACAGATGAACTGGATTATCAACTTACACTTCCCCGTACCGAAAATGTAACCAATGTTATTTACAGTACATGGTAAATAATTAGTGCCTTTACCTTAAATCATATTTTTAAGCTACCGTCATCACGGGCGACCCTTAGGGTACTATTTGGACCCACGCGAAAAAATGTTTGAAGCGGTTTTGGACGCTTATACATTGCATTGACCATTTAGTTTGCAGTTGCATCTGTGCGATGGCAACACAGTGCAGCATTAATAGCTATTAACATGCCTAGAAATGTTATGAGTGTTATAACAGCCCATGCCAAAAGCTAAAAATCGAGGCGGAGCATAGCGGACGAGGCAGTAATAACACTTAACATTTTGTGGAATGTTCAGCGTTTTATCGGTTACCATAAAATATCAATTTTTTTGAGAACATTTACGAAATTACTGCGATATAAAACACGAGTTCTGTTGTTGCGGCACGATAATCGATATTGTTGGGTATTGCTTGCGATATATCTATTTCAACAATACACCTTTGTACGTGGTGGCTCGAGAAAGATGGACGCTGAAAATTCGTCTGTACCTCAAGAAATTTTTGATGCACCTGCTGAAACCACACGAGATTTAATCCCTGAAAAATCAAATGCGCGATACGAGAAGGCGTACCAACAATTTAAAGCTTGGTAATTACAAAATGTGATTTTTTCGTAATAATGTTGACTTGCGATGAATGGGTGGTTATTTATTTAGGTTACTAAGGATGTTAAAACCCGTTGTTAAGGTTTTTAAATTTCTTAACCTACAGGTAGATACAAGTGCACTTAACAAACTTATCGGGTTGCATGTTAACAAGGGTTAAAGACGCGTGTGAGCGATAAACGCGTTTAACGTAATTCGGTAATACACTTCTAAGTTACAGCACTCTAATAAGTGTATGGGGTCGAAATTGGCCGAATTTGACCGCAAACGTTTATCTCTACACTGGTTTTCAAGAGAGTTGATCTACGGATCAGTTTATATTTTGGTAATGATATATTTGTAAATAGAAATGTTATGATAATCTCTTCTTTAGTAGAACGCCTTCCCCATTTTTGTTAGATTTCCTAATGGTGAGCACATAATCTCAACCACCGGGCTACTTGGACCCACACTCAAAGTGGGATCAAGTAACCCAAAACTTTACTTTTTATCTTTTTAACGCTGTAATAGTTTTATTTCGATATTTAAAACGTCAACAAAAGTGATTTTTTTCTTGTTTTTACAGTAATTTGTTCGTTATAATTCACAAATACAAAATATTTCCAGAAATCGGAAATATGCGGATTATAAAAACTATCGCCTTGAGGAATGTTTTGCAACAATTGTCGGGACTTATAAGTCGATTGACTATAAAATGGGACTGAAGAAGAAATCCATTCAGAAATTGGACCATCCAAAAATGTTTACTGAAGGCGAAAAATTAGTCTTTGTAAGGCACCGTGACCAAATCAATAATTTCAGATTTTTTATTAATGAACTCGATTTCAGATTTGTTGAAAAGTCTTACTTATCTATGGGTTAAACTGTTGTTCTTTTCGAATATAATCTTCCAGGGAGAGAATGGGTGAAATTATTTTTTTAGGTATCCACAGTTACCAATAAAAAATTGGATAATAAAAATTGTATTTCAGCTATTGAAGTTCTCTTAGAGTTTGTAATATGTTTACAGTCATGTATTGCACTCGAAAACCTGGAAACACGTGGACATGTACGAAAACATTACGTGGGTTCAAGCAATACCACCTAGATTATCGAATCTAGATGGTGTTGGTTGAAGTAGCCAACGCAGAAGAATAACTTGAATCCACTTTTCAAAACAATTATTTGCGATTTGTGTTAAATATATCTTATCAAATTACTATCGAACACTTCACAATATACCTGTAGATCTATAGAAAAATATAAACATGTATTTTAGTTTTAGGATTAGTAAAGGAAAAACTACGAAAATATTTTTAAAAATTGGGTCCTAGTAGCCCGTGTTTACGGTGTAAGACAGGAAAATTTTCCTTCATGCTTGAAGAATGCTGTATAATTGATTCCAAGAAACTCCTGAAGAAATATTAATTTTTTAATGTAAGCAAGAATGGATGAAAGTGATATGAAGGACACAAAGAGTGTTACAGAGCAGAAAAAATTTATTCGTTGTATAGTTTACTTTTTATAGTGTCGTTGATAGATTTATTGGACGAACTTATAGTTTTCTTTCGCTTCAATAATGAAGGTGTATGAGAGATTCCAAAAGTTTAACTTTTTTAATTGTGTAAAACTCAATTATTTTAGTGAAAAAGAAGCACTTTGCTCAACTGGGATAATATAATTTAAAGAAAAAATATGGATCCATTTCTGGGAAAATTCTCAAACATGTTGGTAAAAAATAGTTTAATGTGATGTCACCGACGCTATAAACTGTTTTAAAAGTATTTTCATTTGTTGAAAATTTCTAAATGTCATGCATAACCTTGTTCAAATACGTTCTTACAGTCTCTGACACTGGATATATCATTGAATCGTAGTAGCTGATACTGTTGTCCTCCCAATCAAATATTCCGAACAATCATTGGTTTTGCATGTTACCTCCATACGGAATATGAATTGGCCATTTTGGAAATTGTAATCGCCGTAAAAAATACTCCCAGGTATGGATGATGCAGGGTTGCCAGATGTTACGAACTCTTTCCCCGCCACTTCTACGAAATTGCCCCAAATAACCTCTCTAATGAAACAAAATTCCTCGACTTTGAAACGAAAAATATTCTTCAAATTATGGACAAACGGGATGAGCTGTTCCGAGCAATTCCATTGGTAAATCTCTTAAAATCAAAAAATTCATATCAACCAATTGTACTTTCAGCTGATGGAAACCCAATTCTATCTTCGTTTTTCTCATGTTTTGTTTTCTCTATCCTGTCGTTTATTTATCTGTTTTGATACATAAAAATGGGACAGAATGTTAGTCTGTTGTTTCTTTTTATTCATAATAAAATATTAATAATTATATCGTGACTCCGGATGAAACTAATTTACCAAAAAAAACCGTCCATTTATGTTCCCCATTTTTTTCCTCGCGGCGAAAAAGAATCCCCATTTTGGGGACAAAATTCCCCAATCTGACAACCCTGGGATGACGCGAATAGTTAGAATTTAGTATATCTAAATTTCGTACACTTTTTTAATATGCACAATTGTGCACATAAAAGGTTACCTGGAAGCTATTCTTCAGTGTTATTCTCGAATAAGATCATTCTCAATTAGTTTCAAAAATTCTGTCGTAAAATCTTTTCCAACTACATTTGATTCTTCCCCAGATTTGTTTAATTCGTCTATATTTTTGTCCCTTAATTTTCGAAGAGATCAAAATTCCACAAGCCTAGTCTAATTTATGTTTACTTTTTCTTCCACGTTTGCTCTTTTAATAGTTTTTAATGCCAATCTACATAAACATTAACAGGTGACTGTTTTCTATTTTTATGTGAATAACGCATTAGTGAAGTTTATTGAGAATAAGTATTAGTCACATTCATTATCGGTATTTCCATGCTTAAGAATGTAAATGTGTGAAGTCAAACGTGAGATCATAAATGTTCTTTCATTCTCTAGCATTACTCACAGTTCGTTTTTGACTGTATTCACTTTTAGCTCATCAATTTTCATCAAATTCCAAGGCAATACTGTTTGTAGGCATTTTTCACAGTTACTTGTAAAAATACAGTAATACGAATGAAAATGAAATTAAATATACCGCGCGATTTTTGTTAACTTAGTGATGGCAACAATCAGTTTTGCCATCCTCATGAAAGAAAATTATGTCGCCTTGTAGCAAAATTGCCTCTGGGTTCAGCAGTGCCAAACACGTCGTGCCCAAACACGCAAAACCAAGTTTTCGAAAATTTCTTAGAATCTTCAATTTGGAAAAAACGAATGATCAATTCCATACCAGGAGATCGAGACGCGTCGACTAACACCTCTTATGTCTCGATTGGTGCACGGGAAGTGGTCTAACCGTTGTGACAGATGCGCATACACGGACATCAGCAGTTACTCAAATGGGGATAAGTTCATTTACAGTACTTCCAAAATCTAAAAGATCCTTTTCAAATTAGCAGGGACTAATGTGAAGTCAGAATATAAATTTCTAGAAAAGCGTACGTACAGTTCAGAAGCTAGTTTTGTTTGTACTATTATAGTTGTCACCAATTCATTACTTACTATAACATTTGCCTCCTTTAAAAGAATATCATTGAATTATCCTAGTACCGCAAGCAAAATACACCTCTTAAGGAGAAGGAAAAATCATTTAATCGCTACTCTTTTGCGAAAGTAATTCCTGAGCACACAAGCTGAGCACATAAGCTGAGCATTAATGACAAACCTATCCCTTTCGAAGTCGGCAAAAAGCTTTTTTGGATGGCTGGATGGCTACGGTTCCGCAGGAAGGTAATATTTGAATGGAAGTATCATACATCAAAACAGGTACGTAGCTTTTCCACGTGTTTAAAAGAAAAAGCTAGTGTGAATGCGCGGCATAACGAATCGTTTCCTTTTAGTATTATTTGTCAATAATTACTCAGATGTTTAAGAAATGCATGACATTATTTTAAAATGTACAGTTGAATCAATTTATGCAGAAAAGATCGAAGCCACAGGAATCGATATGGCTGAAAAATGGTTTTGAAAGTTAGGACTTCAGTTAAAATGTCAAGCAGCAATGATGTTCACTAATATTAGATATGTGTTTGATTTGGCTGTAGAAAAGTAAGATCACTATACTGAAGATAAAAAATTCGCAAAACATTATTTCACGCCGAATTAATATTAGGTCTCGAAGATTAATGAAATAAGGGAGGTTTACACTTTCTGGAACAATACAATCACTATTCACAATCAACTCACAGTTCAACATCTTTCTGAAGATGTAATGGAAATGTTTTATGTTCACCAAGATCTACATGTACGCGGTAGG